GGGGGGGCAGTGGTAGGGCTCCCTATCCTCTCCATTCCTTCCTCAGCCCATCTCCATATACAGTGGCAGGATGGGCCCAGAGTGGGCTTGCCCCCAGGAAAACTGCTTGAAGTTCTGAGGGATTGTGGCTTACTGGGACCATGCCTCTGGAGCTACAGCACTAATCCACATACTCCTTTCCTGAACTTGGCCTTCTCTAAGTTTGCTGAGCTGGCCCCAGGAAGCTGGGCCAGAACAGGCAAGGCTTAGGCTACAGCTGTTTCTTCCTCACCAAGAAGGGTCCCTGAGGCAGATTTGTGGTTGGTCTTCTGCCTGTGTTTTGAGAGGAAGGAGAAGGAAAAAGCTCTTCCCTAGTAGCCAGCCTTCCACTGGTCCCAGAATGGACTGAGGCTGGCCCTGGGAGCAGGGATGGCCACATCCCACACCCTGCCACGACAGCAGCAGCTGCTGCCAACAGCCCTTGCCACGGGCCACAATTTAACCTTAGCGGTTCCCTTAACCCATCTGTCTACCTGAAACTTAGATAGCCACACAGGTTGAGGAACCTAAGGGTTGCAAGGCCCTGTGTTTGGCAGGACCACTTTCTTAGCAGGAACCATGATGGGAGCCAGTCCCAGCCTGGGGAAGCTGCAAAATCTGTCCCTTGTTGTCCCCTTTGCCTTCTGCCCCACTTCACTCTCCTGGTCAGTGAACTCTGTGGCACCAGGTAAAGGCAGCATAGCCCATTGAGGAAGGTCAGCACTGGGACCTGGAAGGGTAGCAAGAAAAAGTAGAGAAGGGACCTGAACCAAAAGTGGCTAGGTGGGGCTGGGTTAGGAGGCTACCAGCTATGAGTCATTACTGCAATCTACTGTCCTCCTGTCTTGGAGGAAAGCAGGCAGAGACACTGTGAGTGGCTATGGGGAGTGCATGGCCCTTGGAGAGACTAGGCAGGGAAGAGGGGGATAGCACAGTTTTGAGGTTGGTTCTTGCCAGCAAAGACAACCTTGGGCCTAATTAGGAAGAAGGCCTGAAGCTAGAGGGAAAGAATCTCAGTCCCAAGACACAGTCCTACCTAGTTCACCCACTCCCACAATCAGAGGGCTTTTTAAACTGCCCTTATGAAAGGACTTTGTATAAATCCACATGCATCTTTAAAATTCCCTCATACCTGGCTACTCCTCAATGTGGGCCAAGACAGGTGGTCCCTCAGGCTTCTCACAGTAAATGGCTCTCCCAAATAAGCAGTGTTTTACACAGGATCTGCTACTTCCTAAGTAACTGCGACCTGACCAGGAATGTGGTAATAACAGGAATGCTAATCTTTCTCATTTGCACTGTACATCACAGTTTATAAAATACTTTTGGTGTCCATTATCCCATCTAATCCCCAACCACTGCAGTGGACTGGGTAGATGGGGGGATAGATAGAAGAGCTGGTTTGATCTGCACTTTGCAGAGGGATGCCTTGGCCTGTTCAGGATCCCCTGGCATGGCCTGGCCCCCAGTCTGTGACCCATGGTTCCTTTCACAACATACTACAGATGCCTGTTGCAGGGAAGAGGACAATATAGAGAACACTGGGCTGGCCTCTACCCCAATGGAACACAGGAGTAAGGGCAGCAAGAAGGCCCAAAGGGACTGCCCCACAGCCCTAAACCCAGGAGGACCGGACCATTCAGCCTTCCATTCACAAGGAAATCTAAGCCAATCCACACTTCCTAGTCTCACCCACCCCTTCCCCTAAATCATTGCCATTTCTACTCAGATTGAATGCCTCCTCCTCAAGGTAGATTTTCTGAGCCCAGAATTGGCATCAAGGAAGACCATAGGCCAAGTGAAAAATCATATGGGCCTAGATTTCCTCGTGAATGGAAGGCTGAATTGTAACCCTCCACCAAAGCTTAAGCAATAATAGGGGCTCTTCTTTAAGGCCTGTGTCCTGTTGTGCTTTTCAGTTACATATAAGACTCTCTACCAGTTAGCCTAGGAATTTCCCAAAAGCAAGCCCTAGGGGTTCCCCCTTCTTGTCCCACCTTGCATCGTTGTGCTCAATGTCTATCACTTACCAAATGTTAGGAGAGATTTGTTTCATGAATTCCACAGAGGGGAATACAGTTTCACAAGCAACTGCACTAATGCCACCCCATCTCTCTCATGCCCAAACCATAATGACAGTAATTTCAGGTCTGAGGTAAAAACATCTGCACTTTGGAAAGTAGCGGATGGGTCAAATATATGATAGGGCCCCTATACCCATCAGACCTTGGGGTCGGGACTCTGAGTGGTTTTGTGAGTATGTATGATTGTGTATTTGCAGGGTGGGGTGGCACTGTCTATTGGAGCTATCAGTTGCAGGACTAAGCTGGAACAATGTCATGTAAAAATATGTCACATGGGGAAAATACCATAACCTGAGCAGATGGCAGTACAAATCTCTGCAGAGAGGGGATCAGATGAAGTTTTTTCTCTTATTTTCTGCATAGCCAGCCATTATCTTGCTCCAAGTTTAGTATTCAGTTCTGCAGAGTTCCCCTGATGGGAGCCTGATCACACTCATGATTCAAATATCAAGCCAAGCAAGGCTCAAGGCACAAAATTAATGTTTGCAAAACAGGATCAAGGCTCCAGGAGGGTTCCTCTGAGGTCAGAGGCTAGAGTGTAGCTGACAGCCTCCCTCCACCCTCAGTACTGGTCCATTGTCTCCCACTGGAGGTGAATACATGACTGTTATTATGGTGGCAACCAATCAGGATTGATGTACTTAGCCAGCTGCTCCCAGGACAATAGTGGTGCTTACCTCTCCCTCTGGCTCCCAGCAGCTGTTCTGCCTCTCTTCCGTTATCCTAGCTCCCTGTCTGCTAGTGGCTACTCTACAGAGGAAGGACATACTGGTGAGGGACTTTCCAGGGAAGGGTCACTGGGTTTTAGTAGGCTGCTCACTTATCCAGCCACTGACCAGCTGTAGTGACTGGAATGAATAGATCAGCACTGGAGGGGGAGCATGTGTTGTAGCTAGGGGTGGATGGTAGCTTTTTCCCCTTCTTTTTATACCATCTCTGTGGCATTTGGACATTTGGAGGATTGTGAGCCTAGACCAGAAGGGTGTGCCTCGCACCAGGTTTTTTTATTTTTTTATTTAAATACATGTTGAGAGCCTAACTCCCAGGCCAGGAACAGGAATCATGTGGAGTTGTGCCTTCAAGTTCCCTTTAGAGATGGGGGCCAAAATAATGAAGGGAGTCTGCCTCATGATTCCAAAGTAGAACTTAGGGTTCCAGTGACCAAGGGCCACATTAAAATCTCTTCCCAGCAGGACAGTTAGTAGAGTCTGACCTAGATCTACCCCACACATAATCATTATGGGGGACGTACTGCTAGGCCTCTTGGACTGAGGATACTGAAGCCCAGAGAGTTTCTTGTTCCAAGGCCACAATGTACTCTTAGCTGATCCTGGACTGCAGCTCTGGAATGTGGGTCTGTGAGGCTCCTTCTCTGGGTTTCTGAAGATCCTTGAGCATGGTCCTGCTGGCAGTTAAGGGATCCTGTGGAGAGGAGGTGAAACTTCAGGTATATTTCTCTTTCCTGCCCCAGGCAAAATATCAGTGAGAGTCTGGGCTAATGTGAACTTGAAACCTGGACCCCACAGAGCTCAGTGAGGACTCAGTGAGCTATTTTGCCAGATGCTTTTCAAAAATTCTATGTCCTCAGAGCTGACCTCCCTCCTGCCTTTCCTACCTCTCCCTAATATACCCCCTTTGATAACTCCTCCCACATCCAATAGCACCACCGGGCCTTTCTCACATCTGCAGTTCCCCCTGCCCAGTGCAAGGAGGTAGGGGTGATGGCTGCCTTTTGCTCAGTATAGGGTTTTGCTACCTTGGGGCCCAGCGGAGGCTGGGCTGGCAAGCCAACCATATGGAGTTCATTAAGTTTTTCCCTACATTTTCTCTTACTTTCTTTCTGCTTCCACTCAAGCCTGAAACCACAGACACCTGTGAAAACAAACCCTGCCTGGATGCTTGCTCACCAATACTATCTCTCTGTATCTCTCTCATCTCCTCCAGACCCAACTGTGATGCTTCCTGACTGATGATGATATAACAGTGCTCAGAAGCCAGAAGGCTGCATTTTCAGCTGAACATACCTGAGTTGTCTCCATCACCATGGAAACCCGAAAAGACGAAGCTACTCTGGCCAAGGGAGCAGCAGCCTCTGTGGATACCCAGGACCAAGGAGCAGAGAAAGGAGCCAAGAACAAGGCAGCTGAGACAATAGAAGGGCCAGCGTCAGAGCCACCCTCATCTGGCCCAGGTAGGCTGAAGAAAACTGCCATGAAACTCTTTGGTGGCAAGAAGGGCATCTGTACCCTGCCTAGCTTCTTTGGAGGGGGACGGAGCAAAGGTTCTGGGAAAAGCAGCTCCAAGAAAGGCATTAGCAAGAGCAGGACCCATGATGGCCTGAGTGAAGCAGCCCGTAGCCATGAAGACATTGTCAGTGAAGGAACTGTCCTCTCCTTACCTTTGCCTGAGTCGCCCTGCCAACTTGCCAGTTCTCAGAGTGCCCATGGGGCTTTGGAGACAGGCTCCAAATGCAAGACATCTATAGCAGGAGCCATAGAGAAAGCTGGGGCTGAGAGGGGGGTTTCCTCTGTGCCCAAGCCAAAGAAAGGACTGAAAGGTTTTTTCAGCAGTATTCGCCGTCACCGGAAGAATAAGGTCTCTGGTGCTGAGCAAAGTGAGCCAGGAGCCAAGGGGCCTGTGGAGCCCAGAGCCAGACCTCATGAACATGTGAGCTCAGTCCTTCTGTCCCATGCTGAGGAAACCCTTCAAGACCCAAAAAAGGAAAATGCCAAACCCCAAGATATCCCTGGGCCAAAAGTTTCTTCAGCATCAGAGCCTTCTCCAGCAGCCATTGAGAAGACAACCTGTAAAGATTCAGAAAAACCCATGAGAGTCTGTGACTCAGTGCTTCTGCAGCCCAAGCCTGCCCCTAAAACCAGTGGCCCAGAAGAACCCCAGAGCTCAGAAACAGGGGATAAAGTGGTGGCAGGAGATGTAAATCCACTCAATGGCCCTGTGGGGGACCAACTGAGCCTCTTGTTTGGAGATGTCACATCCCTGAAAAGTTTTGATTCACTGACAGGTTGTGGTGACATCATAGCAGAGCAGGACATGGACAGTATGACAGACAGCATGGCCTCTGGAGGCCAGAGGGCCAACCGAGATGGGACCAAGCGAAGTTCCTGCCTGGTTACCTACCAAGGAGGTGGGGAGGAGATGGCCTTGCCAGATGATGAGGAGGAGGAAGAAGAGGAGGAAGAGGAGGTGGAATTAGAGGAAGAAGAAGAAGTCAAGGCGGAAGAAGATGATGACTTAGAATATCTGTGGGCAAGTGCTCAGATGTACCCAAGACCCAATCTGAATCTGGGCTACCATCCCACCACTTCACCAGGCCACCAGGGCTACTTGCTCTTTGACCCAGTTCAGTCTTATCCTTGCTTAGCTCCTGGAGACCTTTTGACTCCTCAGAGTGACCAGCAAGAGTCTGCCCCCAATAGTGATGAGGGATATTATGACTCAACCACACCTGGATTTGAGGATGATTCAGGGGAGGCCCCAGGGCTTATCCGAAGGGATTGCCTGCCCCGAGACAGCTACAGTGGAGATGCCCTCTATGAATTCTATGAGCCAGATGATAGTCTTGAGAACTCCCCACCTGGGGATGACTGCCTTTATGACCTCCATGGTCGCAGCTCTGAAATATTTGACCCCTTCTTGAACATTGAGCCCTTTTCTTCCTCTCGGCCACCTGGTGCAATGGAGACAGAAGAAGAACGGCTAGTGACCATCCAGAAGCAGTTGTTGTATTGGGAGCTTCGACGGGAGCAGCGAGAGGCCCAAGAGGCCCGCGAGGCGTGTGCCCGGGAGGCTAACACCAGGGAGGCCTATACCCAAGAAACTCATGCTAGGGAGGCTCATGCTCGAGAGGCCCACACCCAGGAAACTCATGTCAGAGAGGCCCGAGCCCGAGAGTCCTATGCCAGGGAGGTTTGTGCCCGAGAGGCCTGTGCTAGGGAGGCCCAGGCCCGAGAGGCTCGTGCTCGAGAGGCCCAAGTCCGAGAGTTCCAGGCACGGCAAGAGAAGCCCATCATGGAGTATCAGATGAGGCCCTTAGGCCCATCAGTGATGGGCTTGGTGTCAGGGGCATCAGGGGCTTCTCAGACTTCACACCGAGGAACCACGTCAGCTTTCCCTGCCACTGCAAGCAGCCAGCCAGACTGGAGGGACTTCCGTCCTCTGGAGAAGCGTTTTGAGGGAACCTGCTCCAAGAAGGATCAAAGTACCTGCCTGATGCAGCTCTTTCAGAGTGACGCTATGTTTGAGCCAGACATGCAAGAAGCAAATTTTGGAGGCTCTCCCAGGAGGGCCTACCCTACTTATTCACCCCCCGAAGAGCCAGAGGAAGAGGAGATTGGGAAGGAAGGGAATGCCACAGTGAGTTTCTCGCAAGCCCTTGTGGAGTTCACTAGCAATGGGAACCTCTTCTCCAGCATGTCCTGTAGCTCTGACACTGACTCATCGTTTACTCAAAACCTCCCTGAGCTGCCCCCCATGGTGACCTTTGACATTGCGGATGTGGAACGGGATGGGGAAGGCAAATGTGAAGAGAATCCTGAGTTCCACAATGATGAGGACCTTGCAGCCTCTTTAGAAGCTTTTGAACTAGGCTACTACCAGAAACATGCCTTTAACAACTACCGTAGCCGATTCTACCAAGGCCTGCCCTGGGGTGTGAGTAGTCTCCCTCGATACTTGGGACTGCCTGGCATGCACCCACGACCTCCACCTGCTGCCATGGCCCTCAACAGGAGGAGTCGCTCCCTTGATACTGCAGAGACCATGGAGCTGGAGCTATCCAATTCCCACCTGGCCCAGGGCTACATGGAGTCTGATGAGCTTCAGGCTCAGCAGGAAGATTCAGATGAAGAAGAGGAAGAATGGGGCCGAGACAGTCCCTTGTCCCTCTATACTGAGCCTCCAGGGGCCTATGACTGGCCTGCCTGGGCTCCCTGTCCTCTCTCAGTGGGGACAGGCCCTGCCTGGATAAGTACCAGTCAGTTAGATGGGCCTTCTAGCCAGTCTCCATATGGGCAGGCAGCCTGTTGCATACCTCCTGTGGCTATGTCAGTATTGCTGTCAGTATCAGGGCCAGAGCCAAGGGGACCTGGGGAATCTGGGCCTCAACTAGCTCGGCCTTCCCACCTACCCCTTCCCATGGGCCCTTGTTATAACCTCCAGCCACATAGTGGGAGGGCCAGGCCTCGAGATACGTTTCTGCCTACTGATGAGCCCAGTTGCTCCTCCAGTTCTGGAGGCTTCAGCCCCAGCCCTCTGCCCCAGGTCAAGCCTGTGGGCATCACCCATGGCATCCCTCAGCTGCCCAGGATCCGGCCTGAGCCCCCACAGCCTCAGCCCATCCACTATGGGGCTTCCAGCCTTGACCTGTCAAAGGAGAAGGCTGAGCAATGTGCCTCTCTTCCCACTAGCTACTCTTCCACTGCCATGAATGGAAACCTAGCTGAGTAGTCATCATCAATTCTGGAGTGGGCGCATGGGGCCTGAGCATGGGATTGGGGATCAGGGGTTGGACAGAGGGGTTCAGAGGTGGGGGTTGCTGTTTAACTTGAAAATCCTTTTGGCCAAGGAAAGCTCCTATGAGTTTTCACCTGTTTTCCCACTTCCCTCTTCTGCCATCTGGTCACATTCAGCTCAAGTACATCTGCCCCAGGAGGCTACTACTGCTATGCTCCAGTTTTTGCTTTTGGGGTTTCTTCTTGTGACCCGTGTACGGTTTGGGATGCTATAATTTTGTGCCTATTCCAGTTGCCAAGTTAGTGAGTGTGTGTGTGTGTGTGTGTGTGTGTGTGTATGTGTGTGTGTATATATATATATATGTATATATATATATA